ACTTTCCCATTTATTTGTTTATTTATTGTTTTGTTTGCAATTTTTTTTTTTTTTTTTTGCCTGCGTATGTAACTTTCTTTCCGTTGCCAGCACAGGAGATGCGAGTTCTGATGTATCCTTGCAGCTGACTGTACTTTTCGCTGGCAACGCGTAACAAAATTCAATTTTTAGCAACATGCATGCTTTCCCAAATAAACCACGTACCTAGAGAGCTGCTATATTCAAGATAAAAAGATGCTTAAGTTAAAAAAAAAACCGATTTGAAGATCAAAATTAGCGGGCGTTCAGTAAAAAAACTTCGAAATTCAAGTTACGAGAAGAGTCCTTAAGCTCAAAATACCAAAAGTCAGAAACGTGCTTTGAAGATCTTCAAGCTCCAAGATACCTAAAGGGTTTTAAGCTCAAAGGGTCGACTAGAAGACCAAGAGGCATGCTATGAAGCTCTTCAAGCTCTGAGATATAAGTGATCCTTAGCTCAATTAGCCGACTTGAAGACCAAAATCAAATCACGGTAGGTGGGAGCTTCAAAATTCGTCATACAAAAGGTATTTAAACTCAAAAAACGGACTTGAAGATCAAAAGTAGATACGTTACATGAAATACTTCCAAATACGAGATATAAAGAGATCCTTGAACTCCAAAATCTAACCTTTAGACTAAAAGTAGGGAAAGTTCTTTGAAACAAGAACTAAATTATGCAAGTGTATCCCTTTAAGTTTAATAGCGTAGACTCGTAACAACTTTTTAATTTCAATTTTTGTTTGAAGACCAAGATAAACTTATTATTAGGAATGAGAGCTTGCTATTCTTACATTGTGGTTGAAAGCGTGCAAAACAGATGAAGGATCTCTTCACAATACTATAGGTAGATCAAAAAGTAGTGAATAGAAGATATTAGAAGTAAAATTGAGAAGTTTAAACCCCAGAAAGCCAGAACTCAAATGCTCAGTGGTGTATCCACAAGGGACTAGATCGTGCCATCACTTCAGATTAGTAGTTCGTAGCTATATAAATCAATTTGGATTCTCAGCATAAGAGCATATGAAAGGAGGATAAATATATCTATGTTAAAAAAAAGTTATATCGAAGTTAAAAAAAAAATTGGAAAAAATTTAGCTAAAAAAACTATGCAAAAAATCACGAAAGTACGCTGAAGAAACAACAGCAAAAATTGTGAAAAGCCAAAATAGAAGAAAAGTGGCAAAAGCTTAACTACAACAAAAAGTGACAAAAGTGTAACCACAACAAAGAAAATTAAATTCAGCAAATCTGCAACACAACTATTGTCGCAGTTATCAATAAAAATTATGAAATACAACTAACAAGGCAGCAAATAGATCAGATAATCTGATAATTAAGCGTCTATTTGGCAGCGCTGGCAATTGCTTATCTACCCCCACACGTAAGGCTATTGAGCCGATAAGTGCGTGCGGCTGACTGACAAAACATGCAAAAATATATGTATATGTGCATATATTTATATATATGTATGTTTATAAATGAATATGTAGATATGTATGTCTGTATAAAAAAATTTTTGCCATGCTAAAAGCTCTTAGCAGCAGCTTTGTGGCCACTGCTGCCGCCATATTGACACAGTGGGTGGGCGGGTTAAACTTCAAACGTTGCTGATAAAACTGCAACAAAACAGCTGACGTAACGTAGGCGTCTGAAGCATAAGTTACACGTCATAAACGGCGAGCAGACAAAACTTTGAACTTTGAAGGATAAAATTATAAATAAATTATTATCATTCGAAAATTTGTGATGCTTGGCTAGGTGGAGACATACTTAAGTATGTACAAATGTATGTACGTATAGAAAAGTCTATAAGTGTTATTAAATCAGCATTAAATAGTTTCTAAATTTAAACGCCTACCAAAAAAGCAGCTGCGGAAGTGCTTTGTCTATATGTTTGTATGTACATTATAATATCCGAACTTTTATCACTTAACACTTAAAAGCTATTACAACATACTTACATATGTACATACATATATAGTGGTATTAGATATGTATGTACATATGTATCTATATTTCTGGATTGCTACACAAGCACTTGCCAGCAACAACAAGCATTCGCTATACAGCGCATTATACACGAAAAAATTTAAGCTTCAGCGAAATTTGTCATAGAATCTAAAAAAAAACCGACATTTATTTGAGCAAAAAAGTCGAAAAAAATAAATAAGGCAAAAACAACAAAAAATACTGAATAAAATCAAAAGCTCCACTATGTGCTACTCTTTTAGCTAATCTACATGCTTGACAGGCGCTCACATGCAATCCAAAATACCGGCCGGCAGCCAGACAGCCAGCTGTGCGAGCGCACTTTTGCAAACACAAACAAAGAAAACACCAACAAAAAGGCGGTAGCAACAAAAACTTATGAAAGCAGCAATGCAAGCTACAAGCAAAGAGCGCAAGAGACACGCGCACCACACACAAAACTGGGGAAATACCGCTAGTGATCAGTTCGCTGAATAGCTGTATAAAGAGCTTAAAATACCCCTGCACGTATAAGAGTTCGTAAGCACGCGCTGACAATGTGAGCGAGTGTTAAAACATTTCGCTGAATAAAGAGCATGCTTCGACGACGCTCTTTGTCACGAATAAGCGTATAAAAATAGCAATAACAAAGTGCAGCAAGTGATATGCCGCTAGTGACAATAGTAAAAATCACTTAAGCACTTATAATGGCGCTGCAGTAGGCGCGCGCGTTAGCGCATTAGTTGGAGAGCATGGTATGGTGCAGAAGAGCGCCTGCATGCGCGCCTACCGCTGGTATTAGTGAGCAAGTGCAGCGAACGTTGACGGCGTACGGCAGCTAAAACAACAATGTGCCGCTGAAGCGTTGGCGTCACCGTACGCCGACAGCGCATTGGCCGATTTGCGAATTTTTATCAACGCAGCCGCGTTGGCTTTGACGGATTGGTTGTTGTGGGTTGGGGAGGAGAACGAACAGTGGTGCGTTATGCACAGGCGTTGGATAAGAAAATTGCATGTGCGCCGTGATGAAAATTCTTCAAATTTAGACCTTTTTATTTACTACGTTAACTGTTTTCAATATTAAAATATTAATACATACAAAATTTGTTGTCATTCATACTTTTTTGTTAATAAATTCGTACAACTTTTGCCGATCTCGCTTTAAATTACTGCATTTTTATGGACCGCAATGCCAATATTTACACATTATCCGCCTTTAAAAATGTTAAGGAATTAAAATTAAAATTATAATTAGTCAAAGAAAAGCTACAAAATTAATTTATACAAAAATCCTACGTTTCACGTTAAGTATTTCACCAAAGCGTAAATTTTTTTGTAAACTCCCATTTTCAAACTTTTAGTACTTTATGAAATAACTACTTTAAAAATGTATATTCTTTGCAATGAGTTACCAATATTATAGAATTCATGTTACATTTCAAAAAAAAAATTTCTGCACAAATTCTACAATTATCTTAAAACCGTTACCCACAGCTTCCTTAAGCGAAGATACAGACTAAAAATTTCATTTCAAAAATTGTTTCATAAATTCTGCAATTATCCCAAAACCGTCACCCGGGACTATGGGTGAGGTTCCAGAAGAGAAATGTTTTGTAGTAATATTCAAAATATGTATTTTCAAAAAATGTGCAAGGAAAATCGATAAATTCGCAATTAAACTCAGAAATTATTCAAGGAAATTTGCTGAGCAGGAAGTTATTTAAAGTAATATTTGGAAAAATCCATAAATTGGGATTTTTTATTAATTTTAAAGTATAGATATATTGAAGAAAATTCGCTAAGCTAATAACTATTATTCAGAAAAATTCAATAAGGTAGCAATTACTGTCGAAAAATATTCGGAAAAATTCGTAAACTAACCACCACTGTCTGAATATAATCAGTAAAATCGCTCAGCTAACAACAATTTCCAAAAAATATGCAGGAAAATTCACTAAGTTGCCAACTATTTTCCAAAAATTTAAAAAAAAGTCAATAAATTTGTAAATAATTTTCTATATGAGTGAATTTTACACAGTTGTTAATGATTATAAAGTAGCAAGTAACGATAATGGCCGTACATTAATAAGCGACAACACTATACAATTTCATATAAACACAGGAAAATGGTTCGCAATGCTTTATGAATGGCAATACTAAGCAAAAATGGTATTTTATAAATTAATTATTGGTATTTTATAATTAAAAAATAATATTGCGTTTTTAATGTAAGTCAATACTTTTGAAGAAATTGTAGTACAAAACAACTACTCGTCAAAAGTTTCAACAAACAGTCATCAAAGGTTCAATAATTAGTGATATATATATTATAACTTCATCGATTACTCCCACAGCACGTTGAAAGTGTCACAGCGTTATAACTGCAAAGTGAAAAAGTTCACTGAACAATGACTACCGCACGTGACTGAAACGTTTTGTAGATAAATAAATAAATATGGCATAGTAGTGCGCCCGATGCGCACACACACATTCGTAATTATTTCATTGCAAAACAATGAAAAATAAAATAAAATAAAAATAATATACAGAAAACTTGTGTTAGAGCCAGCGTCAAACAAATGGCACAAAATTGCTACAGAGACCAGTGACCCATTTTTGCTGTTATGCCTCGCACTTTCTTCTGTTTTTAAACACTTCCCTTATACGCGCCGCTACACTGTGCGCTGACGCTGGCTAGCGACGACGACTCACTAACTGGTGGTCTGTCGTGGCGTTTTTATTTTTCCACATACATTCCATACTTGTCCGAGAAGAGCGTAAAATCTACGTGTGTTTTGTTGGCGTAGCCTGTGCGCGCTTGTGTATATGCTGCTGGTACTGTCGGCAACGCCGCTGCCATCGCCGCCGCCACCGGTATGAGCGCTTAGCGCCTATGTGTTTGTGTACATGTGTGTGTATGTCAGCTGTACTTTTGTGCAGGCGCCGTCAAACATTGACACTAAGAGCGGCCCGCGTATTGTATGAATACCGGACGAGCTAGCCGACTTTCAGTTTAGTTTAGTACGTCACGTTTTGCGGTGTGTCTACGCGGAAGAACGCAAACTTCTCATTTCGTATCAAAGCAAAAAAAGTGCCTACACAATAATAACAACAACAAGAAATCTTTATATTAGTGGTGTTGAAAATAACAACAGCAAAAATAAAGTAGCAAGCAAACAATATTGAGTAGTCATAGAAGTAAAGAAAAAAAAAGCGAAGAAAATCTAGCATACAACAACAAGTGCGCGTTAAGTTAAAACAGCACTAGCAACAACTACAGCAAAAACAGCTATACTAATAAAACATAAGCAGTGCAAAACATAGCATAATACTTGAGGTATTGCAACAACAACAAAGCGCGAGTGCAAATTTAGCGACAAAGAAAAGTGTAATAAAAAATTATATTTCAATAATACATATTTTTTTAACTTTTAAATTACAAGAAGTCGCATTGTTGATATTTTTACTTCTTATTTGCTGTAGTAGCGATAATATAAAAATAAAACAAAAACAAGTTGCAACTGTGTAAAAAATATTTGCATAAAAGGTGTGTTGGAATGCAATTTTTATGCTCTTAATTACATTAATTATTTTTCTTTTTTATATTTATTTATTTATTTGTTTAAAAAAAAAGTACTTAAAATGCATTTATTACGTGTCGGCGATTTTTTGTGACAAATTAAATTTTTTTTGTGTGGATGCCGCGCATTAGCAAAGCAGAGCGCAGACAAAGTAGATAAAAGATAGTAAAGGAAAAAAATAGAAAAAATATACACTCACATGCACACAAATGCAAATACAGCATTGCACAGCTAGCGCTGAAAGCACATGAAAAGTAGCAGGAAGAAGTGGCGCTAGCAAAGCAAGCAGCGGCAACGCCGACAGTAGCGTCAAAGCAGCAATAATGCGGTGCGCGACATCGGCGGCGTAGTGAGCAAAGATAATGAGATAATTGCTTTTGATTTTGAAAAAAAAAAACAGCGCGAGTGCAAAGAATCAAATGAAATTAATTAAGTAAAGAAAGTAAAGCGCATCGGTTAACGTAACGAAAATATTTGAAAAAATATTTTTGTTATTTTAAAACAAGAAAACATAAAAAAAAAAATGTAGAAATGTATAGAAATTTTTCAAATTTTCGACAGAAAAATTTTTTAGAACAAATGCAACTGCAATATTTGAAAAAAAAATCAATTAAATCCAGCAAACATATTAAAAAAAATTATTTGCATTCAATATTTTATATGAATATGAAAAAAAGGCGAAAAATTCGCGGAAAAATATGATTTAAAACAAATTTCGCCGAAACAAAAATTTATAAAAAATATATAGTTACAAAGTTTTGAAACGAAAACTGCGACAAAGTCTCGAAGAAATATGTGTTTTTTTTTTTTTGGAAATAAAACTTCGTTAAAATGCAAAAGTTGGAAATAAAAATACATAAAAAAACTCGATTTATGCATGTTTTCTGATAAAACAAATAATAAATAAATAAAATT